GGATGGATGGATGGATGGATGGATGGATGGATGGATGGATGGATGGATAGATAGATAGATGGATGGGTGGACGAGCAGATGGACAGACAGAGAGGGGGAGAGAGAATGGTTGGAGACTTTTTTATTTATTTATTTATTTGATTTGTCAATCGCTTACAAGATAATAGGTATAAGTATAAACATGAGTAAGAATACTGAAAATAGATACGATTAAATGGGGACAATGGGACAGGGATGGGAGGCACGATGGTGCACTTATGCATGCTCCTTACAGACCTCTTAGGAATGGGGTGAGGTCAATAGTGGATAGTTTGGGGTTAAAGGAGTGGGGGTTTGAGGATGTAACTACAGAGTCAGGTAGGGCATTCAAGGCATTGACCACTCTGTTGATGAAGTCATACTTTCTGCAATCAAGTTTGGAGCAGTTAACATTGAGTTTGTATCTGTTGTGTGCTCTTATATTGTTGCGGTTGAAGCTGAAGTAGTCATTGATTGGTAGGACATTGTAGCAGATAATTTTGTGTACTACGCTTAAGTCCAACTGTAGGCAGCGTAGTTCCAGATTGTCCAAGATTTGTCAATTGTTCAATTGTCAAGATAGTTGAAAACTTACTGTATATATGCATTTTCTGCCTTTCTACTCTACTGCTTTTTCAATACCTCTAATATAATAAGTTTTTCCACAACTGTGTCCTTGAATTTCTGCTTACTACCATTTGAGTTTGAAACTGGGTGAAGTCTGACCCTTTATAAGGTTCCTGACAGCTGGGTAGCAGGAAGTGAGGATAGATAGGCTAGATTTGTATGTCTTCCTTCCAGTCCTGTCCTGTTCTTAACAACTATCCAGATGAATGCCCTGCAGTTGAAACCAATGGAATGTAATTAATCTACTCCAGCAACATGAGTAGTTAGGTAAGCAAGATGGCTTGTTGAGATGCAGCAAGAAGCAAGGAGGGCTTTGGATTTGAGAGGCCCATGGTTTTCCTGGCTTCTCCAGCCTGCTTCAGATATTGTTCCTTTGTTCCTTCTCAGTATCTCAGCTTAAACACTGGAAAAAACATGCTGGTGGCTTCCCTATTAAGAATATTCTGACATTATTTATTTAATACATTTCTAAACTACTCAACATTCATAAAATAATCCCAGTGCAGGGGCAGAACAAATTAAAACAATTTGCAGTGAAACAATTGCACAATAAATGCCCTCCAAGAATTCTTGCATCTAAAACAAGCCATAAATTAGCTAAATACCCAGGAACACTGGCAAGAACAGGCAGAAAATCAGTAGCAAGACAGAAGGCTCAGCAGCAGAAATTTAACCAAAGATTTGGGAGGTTAGATACATCTTCAGCTTACAAGATTCAGTACCAGTCATAACTGAGCAGAGAAAGAATTTCATAGACAGCCACTTGAGAATCCTTGCTCATGGGTAACGAGATAGAGATACATTCTCTGTTTCTGTGTTGTCTATGCATGCCCAAAGCACACAACTCTTCTTTTTTAAAACAGAAACTTTTTAACCCATATTGGTCTTTTTTTAAAACCTGCAATGCATATAAACAAGTAAATATAACATAAATGCTTCAAATCCCTTTCCAAAATATTATTCTGACTGGACCTAACTGTCAAGTTGTTACAGTGGAACATCTATTGTAGTTATCCACTAAATTTTATGATGGTTTTTTTTTTCCAGAAAGTGGGTACTTTCAGATTTCCAAAAGGCATATTTTATATATTTTATCACTCTTCACCAATTCCTAGATGAGCACTGGAAATTCCACAATATATTAAAAAAAGATGTTGAGACTCTGGAAGAAGTGCAGAGAAGAGCAACAATGATGATTAGGGGGCTGGAGGCTAAAACATGAAGAATGGTTGCAGGAACTGAGTAGGTCTAGTCTATGTAAAGAAGGACTAGGGATCAGAAGCAGGGGTGGGATTCTACCAGCTCACACCTATTTGATAGAACCAGTTTTTAACATTCTAAGCAGTTTGGAGAACTGGTTGTTAGAAGAAATTTACTGGCCTAATCCTGTAAGGAAGGCAGGGAGGAAACATTCTGGGGTTCCTTACAGAAACAGCCTGTCAGGCTACAGAACTTTTCCCCATTCAATTAGCAAGAATGAACTTCTGAGAACCAAATGTATCAAATGGAATCCTTTATTGAGATGAGACAATTCATGTAGGAGTTCAAAGCAGCATCTGAGGTCCCTCAGGCATACAGGAATACATAAGGGAGTTTAGAACCCCTCCCCTTATCTCAATGTGTATTTAGAGAAACAAAAGCCAGTATGTTAATTCTCCTCCCACCCCTTCTGTAGGAACAATCTTTCTCACAGTTTCCCAGGACATACCTAATTTTCCCCCACCCCCTTTTTAGAACAAACTTTTTCCAGAGATTCCCCTGATATATCTCACTGTTGAATTTTTATGATCTTCTCATCTCCTGGCTGTGCCTCTCGGAGGTGATAGTTCTGGCCATCTGGCTTTTCTCCCTCCATTGTATCATGTGTGGGTTATACAAATTTGATATAAGGTTAAATATATTCAGGTTACATCAAGAAAGGATTTCTTTATCAGCCCCCCCCCCCCGCCCCTTTTCTTCTTCCACTGAAGAAATGACAGATATATGGATCTGACATCCTGCCCTCCTTAAAAAACAGATAGGTCTACCTGGAAAAAACAAGTCATGCATTACATTTGCAATTCAGGATGGTTTATCAGGATATTTTAGGTGGAAGCCAATAATATGACCACCAAGCCATGTCTACCCAGTCACATGACCACCAAGCCATGCCCACCACCTAAGCCATGCCCACAGAACCGGTTGTTAAAAAATTTGAATTCCACCCCTGATCAGAGGTGGTATTCAGCAGGTTCTGACCAGTTCTGGAGAACCAGTAGCAGAAATTTTGAGTAGTTCAGAGAACTGGCAAATAACACCTCTGACTGGAGATTTTACAGTATCCTTCCCCTGCCACACCCACCAAGCCACACTCACAGAACTGGTAGTAAAAATTTTTGAATCCCACCACTGCTAGGGATTGTTCCAATATTGAAGGGGATGCCTCAAAAGAAGGACTAGGCAGTGTTCCAATATTTGAGGGGATGCCACAAAGAAAAGGGAGTTAACTATTATTCAAAGCACTAGAGCAGGGGTCATCAAACTTTTGGACCTCAAGGACCACCAAACTCATAATTTCAAATCCTGAGTACCACTAATATGAATTTTGACTGGCAGTGGCTTGCTGATGTTGGTGGGAAAGTCAGTCCCATATTCCAGAGCTACAGTAGTCACAGGACTGGCCCTTTGGTCATCCCAGAGTAGCTCTGAGATGACCAAAGGGGCAGTCCTGTGTCTATTGCAGCTCTGGAATATGGGACCAGCACATGGTAGGGTTGGAAATCTCCACCATTAGAAGCTGGCACCTGTAATATGCAAATTTATGGGTGGTGCAACATGCAATAAGCAGCGTAGCCCTCACCGGCCAGGAAGAGGTAATGGTGCTGTGGCAGCAAGGGGGGGGGGGGGTGTGGCAGCAGAGGTGGGCTGAAGTGGCAATGGAAATGGCCGGAAGGTGCAGGAGCACTGCACTGCTTGCATTTGCATGGAGCTCCGCACCTTCCATCTCGCCTCTCCTGGCCTAGGCTCTTCCTTGATGGCTGCGGGTTGTAGGGACGTCCCAGGGCAGGAAAAGTACTGGCTGGTGGTGGCCTCTGCTTTGATCCTGCTTCCTGCTTGTAGCCAGAAAATTCCCTCTCCAAACAGACTAATAGGTTCGGTGCAGTTAATCTTCTCTTACGGGACAAAGACCCCAGGAAATAATATCATCTTCTAGGCTTTACTATCATGAATCTCCCCCCCCCTCCCAAATTAGAAAGCTAACCACATAGTTTTGGTAGGGCAGCCCAAACAAATGTGGCCAAAATTTTCACGAGTAGCATATTCACAAAAGAGAAGGAAAGATATGAGCTGTTCTTCCAAATATATCCAAACATCCAGACTCTCAAATTTACTTCCGCTAAGTATGGGAAATACGATAAGAACTGAAAAGAGATGGATCTGGTATGATAATAATAAGATGTTTACATAAAGTATAATTTGTTGCAGCCTCCAGTTTCTACAGTTATTGTTTTTAAATTGTGACAGCATAAATCCTAATACATTGTGTTTGTTAGTACAATGATATTTATATAATACACTTAAATTTTTAACATTCTATTGTTTAGATATCTTAGGTACAAAAGAGGAAATGAAAGGTAGCTATATTTTTTTCAAGTTTTATTTGCTTTATTTATATAACATATAAAAAATCCATTTCAATCAAACAGTGAGTTGTCGGGGTACAATTGTTTTTAGGCAATTGTAATCAAAGTGTTTACAATAACATTAATCACAATAACATTAATACTGTAATAACAATAATATTTAATTTGTCCATTTTAACAGATTTCCATTTTAACATTTATCCTTTTTATGTCCCTATCTTTCTAACTTCTGTTTTTATTGTCCAACCATTAATAAAATAAGTCCCATATCAAAAAGTATTTAGTTTCTTCTTTGTCCTTAATTATAAGCATTAGTCTATCCATTTCTGCACATTCTAGTATTTTCTTAATTACATTCTCATCTGTCAGGATCTCATCACACCTCCATTGTTGAGCAATACAATTCTAGCTGCAGTTAATACATGTAAAATCAAGTATATAGCCCCTTTATCATATTTTTCCACCAGAATGCCCAATAAAAATATTTCTGGTTTCATGTCTATATGCTTTATGTTTTAACTTTATCTTTATGTTTTAACACTTTTTCCAACCAGATGTGTATTTTTGTCCAATATTTTTTGGCTTTTGGACATTTCCACCACATATGGTAATATGAACCACGTGTTTGATTACATTTCCAACATTTAGCAGATCTATCTTTATATATTTTTGCCAGTCTTGTTGGTGCAAAATGCCATCTATAGAACATTTTATACAAATTTTCTTTATATGCAATTGACATAGTCAATTTAACATTTCTATCCCACAATTTCTGCCACTTGACTAATTCTACTGAAAGGTAGTTATATTGTTATTAGTGCAGTTAAAGATATCAGTATTACAAGCATCATGATTATATGGCATTTTCATTAAAACTACATGTAATATAGGGAAGAAAGAGCAAGGGAAAAGCATGCATTGAGGTCTTTGTTACATAATAAAAGGTTCAGACTTAGGTTAATTACTTTTACACCTTTGGTTCTTCTTTCCTACTTTTTTTCTTTAATATACTGTATATTAGCTTCTAATATATATTAAAGGGAGAGGGAGGCACAGTGGCCTAGAGATGAAGACTGTCACCTCCCACTCAGAAGGTTGAAGTTCAATCCTAAACAGCAGATGTTTCTCTATTAGGGCACAAAGAGAAAATATCTGCTGCAAACTCTGCATAGGTGTCAGGAAGGGCATCTAGCCAGTAAATGCTCAGCTCCATTCAGATGCACTGATTCCACCCTGATAAAAAAGGATTATGGGGTTGTAAAACGAAGATCTATACTATATACATCTGCAGCCTTTGCAGAAGAATACACACGCACGCACACACACACACACACACACACAAAATGTATATGTATATTGCTGCAAGATCAAGACTGAATTTATTTGAATTTGTAAGGCCTCTTAGAACAGTTGTTTTAGTCATCTTTAAAGCCAAGTTAGGAGCTGTCAGGATGAGATTAAGGACCAGAAATCTAAGCTGTCGTAAAACAAATAGGAAGGGGAGAGACAACAAATATTATTATTTTTTTAATAGGTGAAGCAGCAGTTTTGACTTTTGGAGAACAATGGATAAGACCATTAGAGAATAGACTATAATTAGTTGTGTAATAGTAATGGTGGCATCCACCCTGTTAAATGTAGAAACAAAAAGCCTTTCCAGCCTATTGTTTTGACTAATTCCCCCATCAATTTCACAATCCTGTAACTGGAGAGAATAATTCGGAATTTTAAGACACAATGATGCTCTATCTTCTGCTCCCCCAAATCAATTCTTCCCCAAAACTCAGTAACTTGTTAATTTGTTTCAACAATCATTCCATGACCAGCAGATTTCATATTTCAATCTTCACTGTCTAGATTTTTCCATTGTGAGTTTTTGCAGAATGATTACTATCCTGGCATGCTATATGGCTACTTAATAATCAAGCGTTTCTAGGGCTTTTGTGGAGACCAAAGTGGGGGAATGGAGTTTGATTCAGCTTAGAGAGTAATAAAAGTGCTCCATTCACAAAAAGTAGTGATCAGTGCTGGCTTCTAGAGGTCTCTTTGAGCTTTGCAGATTTAATGAGCAGCAATGAAGGGGTTGTTTTGCTGATTTTTTTACGTGTTTATTCAGCTGAATATAGATAGGCCTCCCTTAGTAAGAGAGAACCCTAAACACACTTTGGCATTCATATTTGTATGTTTGCCACAGTATCCACTTCTCCACACAGATGCTCCTCCAGACAAGCTGGCGCACTCTAGATAAAATAAAGACGTTCAGAAATAGAGCCACCCACCACCTTTGGAGGTCCTCCAAGGACATTGAGTGTCATCTCAGGGACTTTGGGTGTTTCCTGAGGAACTTTCCATGATCTTGAAGGCCTGCAGAGGCAATGGTGACACATATACTCACTTTCAGTAAAAACATTAAATTTCTGGCTAGCAGGGTGATTCTTTAACCAATATAGGGGAGTCATAACCAATATTTAGCAAATATTCACATATCCCTTCCAGAAAGTAAAAGGAAAGGATGGAACACCTGAAAATCTGAGCATCTGTTTTTAATCAGCAAAGCTTGGAAAATGGAAGGACTGACTTTTGGAAAACCCAAAAATTTACTTTTTTTAAAAAAACTTCACGGCATTATTTCACTACCCAGCTATTTCATACAGCTAATAAAATAGATTAATTTGTAAGTACTGTGACTATTCAGAAAACAAGATGGGTGCTTTCTGACATAATTGTGGTACTTGCATGATAAATACTGTCTTCTTGCTCTTCAAGACTCTCATGACAAGTGTATTATGAGCATAATTTATTGTGATCATGAGTTTATGAAATCAATTTATTATGTTCCTTTCAGTTCCACAATAACTGTTGACTGCAAATATTACAAATGTTAATATATCTCAAAACAGACACGGACAGCTGGGTTCAAAACTAGAAGTGATCATTCAGGGGAAATGCAAGATAGAAAAATTCTGCCAATATATTACTATAGTGGCTTTAAAAACAGAGACAACTTTCTTCTTCATATGTTATACAACGTTAATACTTTTAAGCTAAATTTATTGGTAATCCTAAGGACAACTTTGCCCAATCACAACAAATAATTCTGCAGCTATGGTTTTCCAATAAACTGATACCAGCAGCAGTCAGAAGATTTCTGATCTTAAAAAGTTCCTTGTTCTTTATTTATAAGGTAAAATAGTACTATTAGCTGATCTTATAGATCATTTAACCCAGTCCCCTACAAGTAGTCCTTGAAATATGACCACAATTGAGCCCAAAATTTCTTTTGCTATGTGAGACAGTCATTAAATTTTAATTTCGGAGATTTTAATTTTGCTCCATTTTACAACCTTTCTTGTCACAGTTGTTAAGTGAATCATTGCAGTTGTTGAGTTAATAACATGGTTGTTAAGTGAATCTGGCTTCCTCATTGACTTTGCTTGTCAGAAGGTGATCACAAAAAGTGATTACATGATCAGTGGTGGGATTAAAAATTTTTTACTACTGGTTCTGTGGGCATGGCTTGCTGGGCGTGGCTTGGTGGGCATGGCAGGGAAAGGATACTGTGAAATCTCCATCCCCACCTCACTCCACTGCTTTCCAACTCCATTCTAAGCAGGACAACAAAAGAAGACCCAGCCAAACAGCTGGGACTCAGGAGGCAGAAAATAGGTAGGGGCGGGGCCAGTCAGAGGTGGCATTTGCCGGTTCTCCGAACTACTCAAAATTTCCGCTTCTCCAGAATAAGTCAGAACCTGCTGCACATGATCCTGGGATGTTCGAGATAGTTTTAGAGACAGTTGCCAAGCATTTGAATTTTGAACACATGAACATGGGGATATTGCAATGGTTGTAAGTGTGAAAAACGGTCATAAGTCACTTTTTTCGGTGCCATTGTAACTTTGAATGGCCACTAAATGCATTTGTGCAAGATCTTCTAGAACATCTCTAACAGATCACTATCCAATTTTCTGTTGGAAGACCAACACAAGGACAACTCACCTGGCAGACAGCTCATATAATCAGGAAGTCCTTCTGTTGCTAAACTGAACCTCCTTCCTTATAACTTTAGCCAACTGCCTTTTGGGGAAATAGAGAATAAATTTAGGAGATTATATTGGCCCCAACCCTTTTGGCTTCTCTTAAGACCTTGAAGATTTGGCTATGTGACTGGGCACGAGGGTCAGAACTATATAGTAATCATCTCATGGCAATGCCTGTGAGATTATTACTATATAGTGATAATTCTTTGTGGCTTTTATTTCAGCTGCTGATTATGTATTTGTTGTTAGGTTGTTGTTTGTGGAGATTTTAATTGTTGTTAGCTACCCAGAGTCATAACAATGGGATGGGGAGCCATATAAATTGAAATAAATATATCCATTCCTTTGACCCAAAAGTGCTTTTTCAAGAGGCAACTGGATATTCTTGTTTTTATTTGAAGACATTTCACTTCTCATCCAAGAAGCTTCTTCAGCTCTGACTGAATTGTGGGGAATGGAAGGATTTGAAAAGCACCTTTGGGACAACTATGACCTAGATGACTGAGAATGTCCATAGACAAATCCATCCCTTTCTTTCTGTGACAATCCTGCAGGTAATTGAAGACTGCTTCTGATCATTCTCAAGTTGTCACAACTCTGTTTCTTTCTTTGCCTTGCTATTTTCTCACTGTTAACAAGAGTCAACTAGAGCTGAGCCACTGTACTTTTGACTATGGACTTTAAATATTATGAAGTTACCAGAAGCCAGAAATAAAATGAAATGCTTATAACCCAACAGCATCCTGTTTATAGCCTTCATCAGAGCCACCCCATAAGAGCTGGGGGGCCTAACAGTTAGTGTGGTTTTTTTTTCCTTTGAAGGAGATTAAGGTGAAATGTATTTTTTAATACTTTCAGAGGCCTAAAATAGCCAGTTCTCACATTAAAGCACCCATTAATCCCTTTCCCTTTTTATTCTATCCATGCCTAATTTTGAACTGAGACTCTTAACATGTTGTGTAAAGCCTAGTACTATTGTTCTTGTGAAGTGGTGTGAAATTGTTTAAAACCCCAGCCTTTGAACTAGTGAAAATTTGACCCCTGCAATAAGGGAATGTTTGCAGCTCAGCTTTTGAAGCCATCCCTATATGTGGAGGAACAAATCATGAAAAATGGGCCCTAAAATTGTTCCATACCATTACTTTATCCTATCATTGAGAAGTACACTGAATTTTTCCTGTACAATGGACTTCAGAAAAAAAAAAGTCTGGAACAAAGGCTTCTTACCCTTTCTATGAAAGCATGATGGACTCTTTCAAAAGTCCTCCTACTGTTGGCATCAATTCTGATTCTATTATTCATCTGTCATTCTTTATGCCAACATATTATAAGTTAAGAGTTAATATTCTAGTGACAAAGACATGGGAGCAGTTAAGTTGGCCATCAATTAGGCCATCTGGGGGCACAAAAATATTAATGCAGGCCATGTTAAATTGTGCTCTTACCTTTTTTTTTAAACTCCACTGAAGGAACTAAAGGTGATGGATGGGAGATGTTTTAGGATTAATAGAACATCTTATAGAGTCTTACTGTGCTGAAGACGAGATCAATCATAACAGCTCAGATACCATGATAATGAACATGGAATAAATATCTAGAAAGACAGTAGATCAGAATTTGCTGGAACAGTTGTGCTTCTCTGTCAGCTTGCCTAAAACCTATGCAGGTAATGACTCTCCATATTCATGTCTGCAAATTCAAACGAATGCATGAAATGCATCGTTGTAAAGCTTAAAAATAAACAAACAATGCCAGGATGATATCTTCTTTCACATCCACCTAAACAACATCATAAAGGCTTCAAACATTTGATGTGCTGGTGAAAGAGAGACCACATGTTTGAGTGCTGCCCATGAAAAATTCTTTCTGAGTGTACAAAAGAACCAATTTTTGAAAAAGGAATCAAATTCAATTTTACTGGTGTGCAAGATTCTTTGCTGCAGGTTAGAATATTGATTCATTCATCCTAAGGATGTCTTCCCTGATCTTGTAGGTTCTCTCCAACACCATTAGCAAGGCTCTTTCCCAGCTCCTGTATCTGATCTCCTTTATCAAAAGTTGCCATGAATTGAATATCTATGGAGATTCTCGGTCATCTAATTTATAAAACAAAGTCCAGTTGCCTTTTGAAAAAGCATCTTTGGAACATGAATTGAATATTGGACCTTTTTTAAAAGCATGTGCTCTACCCACAAACATTGTACAATTCCCAGCACTGAAAAGGTTGCCTTCAACAAACTTCCAGCAGCAACTTATTATCCACTTTTGCAATAAACAGTTTTAATTATTTCTTTGGTTTTCTAGTTACAGTACTTCCTTGTGTCATGATGATCTAACTCATTATATTCATTTACATGGCATCTCACTTTATTAATGTTCCCTTAGAGCAGGGCTGTCATGGGCCGGATGCGTCATGTGCTGGCCACGCCCACACCTGCTTTAAGCAAAGGGGGGGGAATCCTGATACCTTACGTAACACCACCATGATGACATGAGTTTGACATCCCTGCCTGAGAGGATATATGCTCTACCTTTCAAGTGGGCAAAACAAAACACTCTCTCCTCTGATATTAGCTTCATAACAGTAGATTGGGTGGAGAGATTGTGTCCAGCTGAAAAGGAGCTCTATAAACAGGAACTTAATCAGTGTCTATCCAATCCATAACCAACATATATATATACATACACGCATATATGTATGTTCTGTCTCACCTTTCTTCTTTCTCAAAAGATGAAAGAGTACAAACTCACACAAACACAGGCAGGCAAGCTGACTCGGACTACACAGAGTTAATTCTTTGGAACTGATAATGTCCTTGGCATTCCAACATGCTCTGCCTGCCAAGTCCGAATTGATAATAAGTAAAAAGCTACTCACAGAGAATTACAAGGCAGACCACAAGAATCATTCACATCGAAAAACCTGAAGTAAGATTAAACTTTGTCCCGTACAAAGTTCTAGCCGACAACACACCCACTTTTATCCCCTGTGGGGTGTGGCTCAATGACTCAGCTCACTCTCTGACCCTCCCATGCCTCCTACATTGCTGCTCACGTTTCTCCTTACGATGCTGCCTAGGATCAAGCCAACATTCTTCCTCTTGACTCCCTGTCAGGGGCTGCTCTGATATGCCTTCCTCCTGATTAATCTCAGGCTGTTCCTCTCGGTTGTCTGATGGAACCTGAGGCATTATCAGGGAGGAAGGTCCTGGGGAGGAAGGCATTGCCAGAGAGGAAGGTCCTGGAGAGGAAAGCATTCCCAGTTCCTCCTCCTCATCTTCCAAGTCCTCTTCCTCTAACAGCACAGGCTCGGGAATCGGAGCCACAACATATGTATATATAAATGTATCCATCTTGCCTTTAACTTAAGGTGGCAAATATATCCAGCATACCTTCCTCCTTCTATTTTCTTCACAACAACATGTCTGTGAAGTGGTTGGACTGAGAGAGAGAGAGAGGCTGGCCCAGCACCATCCAGCTGGCATTATTGGCTAAGGTAAGACTTGAACTCATGGTCCCCACTTTCTAAACTTCTCTTTCAAGTAGCAGAAATTAATTTAATCCCACTAAAAAGGAATAGAAACAGAACTAGGAAAGGTTGAAGTAGAGTTATGGCAATGGAATTTGCCATTTTTTTCACCCCACATACATCAATAGTAGCCATCAAAACATTTTAATATTACATCCCCCTTCACTGCAACTGAGAACCAGAGACCTGAACCAGGTCTAATGCTTCTACTTCCTCACTTATCTTTGCAGTTAAAGACAACCATCTAATTTTACTAAATTTAGGCACAGGGGTGGATAAATCTCTCAGTTTTGCCTTCTTTGTTTTTGTTCATTTGCTTCTTCCAAATCTCATATTCTTTCTGTTTCATTCATGAACAAAGATATGAATTCTGGCAACTATTTGTAAAACAAGTGAAATAAATAACAATTACAACCAGCCCCAGCCTGGGCTGCATTGAGGGGGAGTGACACTCATAGGAAGAAAAATCCCAAGTACATATGTTGCTTTCCTCTGGATTCTAAAACCCTAAGCTGCCAGACAATGGAGGTTTTGGTTGCTTTCCCAGTCAGCAAATGAAGGCAATCCAAAATTGCTGTGGTTTGAAATGAGACTTAGCAGGAGCTGAGCAAAAACTTGGACCTTTTCTGCCAGGAACTGATGTAAAATGGAGCAGCTAAAAGGAATCCCGTATTTAGCCTGATCTGCCAGGATTCATAGAACTTCTTGCTCTTTTATTCATTGTCAATTATTTATTTCTAGATGAAAACTAAAGGCCCCATTCCAAGACTGAAGCCTTGAAACAACATGTGAAGGAGTACACTTATGTATTCTCTCCTTTAGAATGCAATTCCTTGGTCCCTTGATTATCTTACTTTGTTTGTGGCTCTCATGTTTTTCTTTAGTATTAGACTTTTTTTAATCCATTAACTGTAATTTGGTCACCATCAGGCTACACAGGAGGACCAAGGGGGAGTGACAAAATGTGCTTCACTATCTTGCAATACAAAGTTTGCCTGCTTTGTACTTGCATTATAACGCACAGTCCAAG